AACTAACATTCGAAAATGTTGGTTTCAATTCACATACTTTTGCACAGACCGGTTTAGCGCTGTAAATTGTTTTTTGTTTGTAGGGATCTTTTTCGTGCCAACACCTACTGCGACACAGGAACTCGGTTTATACGGTCTCATCCGAAGGACCGGTCTTTACGTCCTACAGTGAGATTCGAACCCGCGACGTAAGGATCAACACTCCGCTACTCTAGAGCAGACGCTCTACCACTGCGCCACGCGGGCGACCGCTATAAATTGAGAATACGTGTAATGTATTCACGCAATTCGATATCATAAAAATATTGCATGCTTTTAAGCTAACGTGTGAAAACTATAATGTTATATGCTCTGACATAGATATCCTTAGGCCATTCCATTTTTAGGTCACCTGAGTCACTCAGGTGACCTATTGCTATCCGTTTTTGTCCGTCGGCGTGCGTCGTGCGATGTGCGTTAACATTTGAACATTTTTAGCTTCTTCTCTGAAACCGCTCAACCAATTTCAAGTAAATTTGGCATATAGCATCTATGGGTGAAGGGGAACAAAAATTGTGAATTTCATGGTCCCTGCCCCCCTGGGGCCTGAGGGGTGGGGCTAAAACCACCAAAATTAATGCAATCTTTAAAAATCTTCTTCTTTACTCCTGGACATCAAGCAGTCAAACTGTTGGCATCATTGTGATAAGCATTGAGTCCTCTACCAAAATTGTGAAATTCATGGCCCCAGGGTCAGGGGTTCTGGTGCTAGGGCGGGGCTATATAGATCATATAGTGAAAGTGCATTATTTCTTTGAAAATCTTCTTCTCTGCTCCTGGGTATTAAATAAACTAACTAAGTATATAGTTATGATGAGTAAGAGTGACTCTTCCAAAATTGTGAAATTCATGGCCCCAGGGGCAGGGGTTCTGGTGTTAGGGCGGGGCTCTATTGATTATATAGTGAAAATGCATTAGTTCTTTGGAAATCTTAGTCTCTGCTCCTGGGTATTAAATAAACTAACTAAGTATATAGTAATGATGAGTAAGAGTACCTCTACCAAAATTGTGAAATTCATGGCCCCAGGGGCAGGGGTTCTGGTGTTAAGGTGGGGCTCTATTGATTATATAGTGAAAATGCATTAATTCATTTAAAATCTTCTTCTCTGCTCCTGGGTATTAAATAAACTAACTAAGTACATAGTTAGGATGAGCAAGAGTGCCTCTTCCAAAATTGTGAAATTCATGGCCCCTGGGTCAGGGGTTCTGGTGTTAGGGTGGGGCTCTATTGATTATATAGTGAAAATGCATTAATCCTTTGAAAATCTTCTTCTCTACTCCTGGGTATTATTGAAACACATTAAATACATAGTTATGATAATCAAGGATGCCTCTTTCAAAATTGTGAAATTCGTGGCCCCTGGATCAGGGGTTCTGGTGTTAGGGCGGGGCTCTATTGATTATAAAGTGAAAATGTTTTAATTCTTTAAAAATCTTTTTCTCTGCACCTGGGTATTATTTAAACAAACTAAGTACATTGTTATGATAAGCAAGGATGCCTCTTCCAAAATTGTGAAATTCATGGCCCTGGGGACAGGAGTTCTGGTGCTAGGGCGGGGTTATATAGATCCTATAGTGAAGGTGAATTATTTCTTTGAAAATCTTCTTCTCTGCCCCTGGGTATTGCTTAAACAGGCTTAAGTACATTGTCATGATACACAAGGATGCCTCTTCCAAAATTGTGAATTTTATGACCCCAGGTTTAAGGGTTCTGGTGGGGGGGGGGGGGCTTCTATTGATTATAAAGTGAAAAAGCAAAATTTCTTTGAAAATATTCTTTTCTTCTTCTGGTTAAAAAAGCAAAGAAGCTAAGTGTATAGTTATGATGAGCAAGTGTGCTTCTTCCAGAGTAGTGAATTTCATGACCTCTGGGTCAGATGTGCTGGTGTGAGGGTGGGGCTCTTGATAATTTAGAGAAAATGCATTAATTCTATTAAATAATCCTGTTTGCTCCTTAGTGTTAAGCAGATAAACAAAGTGATGATGAGCAAACATATGGTCCCAGGGTCAGAAGCTCTGGTGTTTTGGGGGTGGGGGGGGGGGGGGGCTCTATTGATAATATAGTGAATCTGTAGTAAAAATGCATTATTTATTTAAAAATCTTCTCCGCACCTGGGCATATCTGAGGCAAACAGAGTAAAAGTTTTTATAAGGAAGGGAATTTTTACCAGATTTTTGAACATCTGGACCATTTGGTCAAGTGTTCTGGTCCTGGCCAGGGCTCTATTAGTTTGTATTCTACTGAGAGGAGTTATTCCCCTTTGCCATTTACTTTTGATAATTTATCACTGTAAATAATGTACTTGAAAGGTAAATAGAGAATTATGCAAAAACTTTTATTGTATAATACAAAAAGTACTTTCATAGTTTTAATGATCAGATAGATTTGTAAGTAGTAGATAAATAAAAATGAGACAAAAATAACTTGTCTTATTAAATATTCATCAAAGACCAAGAGATGCCAATGTAAGAGATTTCAACAAAGGATTAAAATAGTACAGAAGCATTGATAATTTGTTAATATACTGTATAGTGGTAGTGATAAATGGGGAACAGATTAGAACCTAATTTATGAACTGTTAATGAATATTAAGACCAATTATTTTGTTGATCATGATCACCCTATTTTTCTTGCTTTTGGGCAACAAAGCTTCACCTTTTAGTTCATCTTATACTCTATGCGTCCTTGAAATTGTTTTATCATACTCAGGTGACCGTTAAGGCCCTTGGGCCTCTTGTTTTTCTAAGTTTAGCATCCGCGAACGGATTGCTTTTACACCGGTAATGAAAATGACACACACCCCGCACACACACATACATTTGTAAGTCAATTTACTCCACTGGGATCGGTATCTATACATTTTTTAAAAGTTTTGTACCAAAGATTTGTATTTCAATTTACTATGTGTTTTATTTTTTTTTTTTTTTTTCAAAATTTTATTACGTGAAAAAAAAAATCTCAAACGATGATGAAAAAATTATGATTATTCTAATAATTTTTTTTCCTGTTGGAATATATATTTTTCCGGATAAAAAGATAGGATTTGGATTTTTGGGTGGACAAAGCTAAACATATAGAAAACCTCTGAACAGCATAATTTAACATAATGTAAATCATATACGGTACCAATTTTGATGCACCAGGTGCGCATTTCGACAAATTATGTCTCTTCAGTGATGCTCAAGCCGAAACATCTAAGGTACAAGCTTAAAATCTTACCAAATAAAGGTTTACTTCTATATAAATAGGGATCTGACCTATAGGACCGGGCTTGGTTTTTTTCTCTACAAAAAGCTTGTCGATTTCCGATCCGGTTAATGACTTGAGGCTGACTACATGTAACAATTTGTTTTTCATAAATCTTTATTTCAGTGAGTAGAGGTAGGAGGAACACTTTCATTGATATTCTGAGTTTGTTATTTCCAAATGTAATAATTGATATTTTTCTTTACTTCTCATTGTACATAATGGTAATGTCTACTATCTCTAGAATTCTATTCTTTATGTATAGGCTATTTATTTTACAACAATATTCCGTAGATATAAAAACATGCCATTAATCTGTGCAAATTATATAGGCCTAAATGAAATCCAAGGGAGTACAGTTACTGATATATGTAGCCCAACTGTTTCAAAACTTAAGATCTTAGAACATTGACTGAAAACAAAAGTATGTGTATGTTATTCTAAATATATTAAGCTCAAATAATTCAAGCAATACGTAACATACTACATGTAACCCAGACAAGCACTAGAAGCACAGACAGAATAAAACCAATGTGATTAAATTCTAAGGAATATATACGATTGAAATTCATTGCAGCTCAATGCTGCCGAGAATATCTGTATCGAGTAACACAGAGTGAGTTATTCTTGTCCTCGGAGAAAGTGTGCTTATACTGAGATTGGTTCCGCCTGACTGACAACTGTACATTGGAATGCTACGATTTGATCTCTCTCTAGTGTTTTTTTTTATATCAAGAATGGGAATGCATAAAGGATAGATTATTGAAGGAAAATAAACAAGCCTCTAAAAATTTTACAAAAGTCTTTGAAAAGGCAAAAATTTAAAACTATAAAAGTGTGGCACCAGGTGGATTCGAACCCCCGACTTTAAAAAGATAATATCCACGATATAATAGTCAGCGCATATATCAACTGAGCTATTCTGACTATAAGATTAACTCGTATAAATTTGAAACAGATTGTAAAAATCAGGTTTCCTTATTTTGTGTAGGTTTTTTGTGAATTTTGACCCTAGGGCAGGGGTGCCCCTAAAAAAATCCTATCTTAAATTATTCCTTACACCCCAACCTATCAAAATGTCACAATTTTATTTAGGGGCAGGCCTGCCCCGAAGGACTTCTAGGCCAAAATTCATGCAAAAATCAACGCTTTAACGGACAAAATGGTGCTTCGGCCAACTTTGGAGGTTTATTGTAAAGTTGTAAATAATAAATTTTAGTTGTAAAATACAAATTTGAAAAATTTAGACATATATACGGTAGAAAACAACAAATAAAGATTGATTTTTAAGGAGGCTGGGGGGTCAACAAATTAACCACAAATTAACCAACAGATTTAACTTAATTTTTTAGATATGATATCTTAAGCTGTCAACTATCATTTGGCAAAGAAAAATTTCAAAAATTTTAGTTTTAAAATTTGATCATTTTCTATATCTTCATATGGAGCTCTTCTTCTAAAGGAGATCAATATAGTCTAAAAATGGCCACAACCCCGTAGCCTCTTTAAATGTCACTTTTTCCGGGAAATTGTTCTCTCCTATAGGTCAATTCTTTTGTAATAGTGAATACATCCTTGTTCGGATAAACATGTATTTTGTATTCATAATGCAGAATTTCGTATTTTAATTTGTGCGTATTTAATTCCTCGCATTTTTCCGATAACATAAAGATTAACTCAATGAATTAAGCATATTAAATAACATGTAGAGTACCTTTTTACGAGTCCAGCTTTCCTAACATAGGTCTTCCTTGGGTTATCTGGATCCGGGTCATAAAAAGCATCAACATTAAACCTTTCTGGTGGTATATCTTGAACGTGGTCTTCTCCATTGCAAAGAATCTTCCAGAACTCATCTATGTTTTCAGCTCCTGGAAACATGCAACCAATGCCTACAACAGCAATGGTTGCCTCTTCTTCCATGTCGAAACTGTAAGAAAAACGGTACGTGCCGATCTTTTTAAGTCATCTGTTAAAACACCTACTTATACCATTGGTTGAAAGCTGCGTTGAAGATCTTGTTGCCAGATTAGCTCCGCCCCTTATGTAACGAATCGTACATGATTGTTGTTTTGAGTGCCAAGCTTTGAATCAAAATTTTGCTATACACAAGTTCTTTAAAAAATATGATTACACTGAAAACAAGATTATATACCAAGAAAAATATTACATATATTATATAAAATCTGAAATAGGACGTACATTAGTTTGCAAACAGACATTTTTGAACAGCTTATTGATATTGAAAAAAGACACAAACGTATGACAAAGAGCAAACCTCTTACATGAACCATTTTCTGTAGATGACGCTTGGTACAGAATAAGTTCCTAGTGTTCACATTGTATGTTATCCTGGTTTTTTGACACCTAAACATAATGTAAATTCTCGGAAAAGGACGCTATGTTTTATGATGAATAAATAAAAATATGAAAGTCGAAGTGTTGGTTATTTAAAGGCAGAAATTAGGATGAAATTCATGCACACACTGTACGTGCTGTGTGCAACCACATCAGGGCATACTATAAACCTTGGCGTGACCTCGATGGCCTGACCTGTGGCCAGAATTATTGGTCTGATCTTAAATTTGGTCACCGTAAAAATGGCTTTGGGTGGAAATTAAACATTTTCAGAATTTTGATTTTTTTAATTGTTTTTATTTGGTGTTGGGAAGATAGAACAACATTCAAACACTGAAGATCTGGTAGATTTCATTGAATCTGTATCAAATCATATTTTACAAACGTATTATGATTCACGTGACAGGAAGATAAATGAACACAGATATTTTCATCGATGAAAGAACTCACACTGAACCTAACTGGGTTTTTTTCGTTCCAAGTAAATGAACATGTTTGTAGTTTAGTAAGGCTATAAATTATGTGGGATATTGAAATCAATTTCAACGTTTTTAGTTGAATACGGAATTATCTAAGTAATATGCATTTAATAAATCTAATTGAATTATTTGATACTAGTAAGGGGAGATGTCATAATTTGTTTTGGCACCGTGGGAGGAATTATTAAATAAGCCGGTCGTAAAATTATGAAATTTTACTTCATGTACTGTACCTAGTGTTGTCAAAGACGAATCAAGCACCGGTATCTCCTACCCCGTTTGATTGTTTTGTTTTGTTTATTTGTTTTTGTATTTTTGCATTCTTTTTTGTAAAATTTGATTGTTTGATTTGTATATACTCTCAATTTAATCCACAGGTAATATTTCATAATTTCATAATTAAACTATTTAACATACACAGTAAAAAACCTTCACACACAAATGACTTCATATGGTATGTGGAAATATTTGTGATAATCTGGCTTAAATATAGGATGAATGCTGAGGAGGAGTAGACAGAATAAAACACTGCCTATGTCTATAACCCAAAATGAATGTTTGGCATAAATGATTAAAGCATGCCCAAATTCAGATTCTTGCCTGTAATGCAATATAAAAGATTGACATAAAGATTTTTTTATGTAGCAAAATAGCCATATGTATAGAATATGGGTAAACTGTGGTGTCCAGTTTGACAATTGATGAGTTATTGATAGGTAAAGTCATGGAGCCCATAGATTAATTGGTAAAAGCCTGCATAAAGTTGTTTTACACTTGTTTTTCAAAGTTACCAAGTGATTACAGAGAGCCAGAAGTGGCTTTTCTTATTATATATATTATATACATCTATGAAGGAAAACAGCCAATAGAGAAGACCTACCCTGAACCAATTATTATTATTATTATTTTTTTTTTTTTGCTTGTCAAAAAAATCTTACCCCCCCCCCCCCCTCGTTCTGAAATTTTTGGATCCAGCACAACTTCACTATCCAAGGGTTTCTGATCCGCTACTCTCCTCACAAACCCTTGGCCTTTGCTGTCAAAAGTCGGGATTGTTTACGCACGTGATCTCGAAATCTTACCACATACTAGTACGCACAGATTGCGTCATCGACGCAAATAAAAAGCGTATTTAAAAATAAAAGTATTTAAAGAATAATTAACAAGCAAGTATCGAGCAATGTTTATTGGTTAGGTAAGGTGCAAATCTATATTGTAATATAGATTCCTGGTCACATTATGTGCACATCTGCTTAAAATTGGATGACACCATAGCTATTTATAGAATGGCACGTTAACTTAAGGAACATCATTTACTCGGGTTTTTCATTCCCGAGGCTAAAGAGCAAAGATATATCCCGAATGGAGATATCGTCATTTACAAAAGCATTCGTTGATTGGTCGAAAAATATCAATTGACTCCAATCACATCTCGAGAAAAAATCCCGACTTTTAATTTGATAGCACCATAGGCCAAGGGTTTGTGAGAAGAGAAGCGGATCAGAAACCCTTGGTTAGCGAGATGGATCCGCCACTGATAGTAATATTTAATTTATAATCTTAACAATCATTGCAGGTTATATATCTGACCTTAGAGATCCTGCTCTTTGACAAGTAAGCCATATATATTTTGTAAGGTCACCTGAGTCACTCAGGTGACCTATTGCTATTTTTTCCGTCCGCCATCGTATCGGTCGTCGTCCGTCGTCAATCGGTCGTAAACTTTCGAACATTTTTAGCTTCTTCTCTGGAACTACTGAACCAGTTTCAACCTTTTTTGGTTGACATACATTTTTGCCCCAGGTCTGCACGAACTTTCATACCAACACAATGTGCAGATATGATTAATCACCTAAGATTGTTTGAAAATTCACCTCATTATCAAGCTGGATTTTATACCATGAACCCAACTAGTTTTTTAATGGAATTGTTTGGCTATGATTTATATTTCTATTTTCTACTCGAGAAGCAGTGTAATATATTATCAGAATACATCCATAAAATATACACTATATTAAGATTTCCCAAGGAAATACATGTATGTATATAAATTAATCTACGGCCATTCCATTTTTTTTTTTTTTTTTTTTTTTTTTTTTTGTATGTTTAGCAATGTCCACCCTAAATCCAAATCTTATCTTCTTATTCGGGAAAACATACCAACCAACAGAAAAAGCGACATCTTTTAAAATAATTATAACATTTTTCATCATTATTTGAGAATTTTTTTTTTACATTGTAGGAAAATTTAACAATTAAAAAAACCTCGCTACTACACTGTAAAAAATAAGTGTTTTAAAAATAAACACCAAATTGCCACAGATAATAAACACTTTAACACGTTTAAAATTTAAACACTTCGTGAAGTGTAGAGAGAGAGGGTATTTATAGGCATTGCCTGTTACCCAATCGATTCATTATTTTTGAATAAATATTGTTTAAAGTGTTTAAGAAATAAACACGTTAGAATGTTTAAATTCTAAACACATGAGGTTTAATATTTAAATACTTCTTTCTCATTCTGTTTAAATACTAAACACTTCAAAAACACAAAACGTTTAAAGATTAAACACTGAATAAACACAAGGAGTTTAATAAATAAACACCGTACGTGTTTAAAATTTAAACATTTCATATTTATTAATAAACACGTTCAACCTAAACACTTAAACATGTTTATTCGATGCAACAGATAATAATCACTTAAACATGTTTATACGCCATTTTTTAAACACTTTAACGTGTTTAATTTAAAAAATAAATAAACACTTAAACGTGTTTAAAAGTTTTCAACATTTTTATTTGAAACAAACATAAAACAGTACAAAACACACTGTGCTTGATGATGAACATGTACATAAAGCTTAATTACTAAATGATTTAATGTTGAATAGAGATTCAAACTTTATAAACAATTATAACATTTATCAACACATTTGCTAACACACACTTGCAGATACATAATTCAATTCAAGTTGAAAGATAGAATTATTAAAAAAAAAAAAAAAAGCATGAACATGTAAAACCTGCATGTGAACTAAAATTCAATAAAATTGGTGGCCCGGGGGGGGGGGGGGTGAAATAGGAAAATCGCTAAATAAAATGAAATATTATTTTTCAGGAATAAAATTTTGAAACTTTATTTTTAAAAAGGGACAGGGCGTCCATTACATCTTTTTTTAATAAAACAAACAAATTCATAATTAAATATAATGCACAAAGACTGAAAATGTTATTTATTGCCTGGGTACGGGATATATACATTGTGTATGTATTGCAGTTAATAAATCCAGTTGTTGTACCTGTATAATTTTACTTTCACTAATATTCAGAGTTTTAACCAGATGAAGAAAATTTCCAGTTTTTACCTGTAAACGACTAATTCATTAAATATTCTTGCAACTTCACAAGAGCTACCGGGGTATCACTCACTAAATTTCATATTCTAACCGAGTTAAACAGTCTCCTCTGCTTGTGTGTAAAATTCAGGTTCTTCTGCCACGAATGATGATCTCCAGTTTTCCATTCTCCAAAATTTTATTCAACCTTAGTATTTCTAATTCCTTCTTCTTATAAGAAATATCCTGAAAAATAGATAGATAAAAAATATTCACTATGCAAATTCAGAAAATTATCTGTAAAAGAATACATTGAGATAAAAAAAATAATTTTTTATCCTTCATGCCAATTTTAATTATATAATACATACTGAGAGACAAGTTTGAAATAAAAATCTGCAATACAAATAAATCATATATTAAGCATACAAACAGTGTATACACTAAAAAATTAAATATTAATGTACCTGCAGGAGCAGCCCAACAGCAACAATTAAGAGAAGGGAGGGGGGGAGGGGGGCTACCCAAGGCATTTTCTATCAGGTAAACAACACTCCCCAAAAATGTAAAGTCTCCTTAAAGAATACATGCGCGGGCAAGGGATGAAAAGTGTTGTTGTTAACGCTTATGTGTTAAGTTATGTTTGGTCAGCAAATAATCATAATAATGCGTGATAGGGAGCATAAATTTTATCAAGGGCAGGTAATTGGATTACATTTACTTAAATTTCATGTTACTGGGAGACCCA